AGAGAGTAGTGATATGATTTAAACTGAGTATGATAATATTGCAATATGAAAAATAGATCAAACAACAACATAAGATTTACACGATAAAATATATCACGTGAAAAAAAAGGAGAATTTTATCAATGTCAATAGTGGAGGATTTCAATTTATTGTGTAGAATGTGAGAATTGATTCAATATATGTTGTACACCACACACACACACACACACACACACACACACACACATATATATATATATATATAATAATAAAATAGGAACCTAAAATCAAGAATTGCTCAAGTCCAGGTCAACAGTAGGTTCTCGAGAACTATGGATACCCGACTCTTGAACCGAATTTATCCCTTTTATATATTGTTTTTTATTTTTTACAATTTATTTACTCCGACATAACGATCCGATCCAACAAATAACAAGTTTGCAAGATCCAAATAGTAAGTAGCATAATAAACCAGTTTCATTCATTTGAATAATTGAATCACACGAGTGTCAATCATAGCCACTTCTAATCATATCTTACGTGTTGCCCATCCCACTAACCTTTCTTGATACGTCCCGTGCGTATCCACAATAAGAGTTGGATGCTATTGTGATAGATATTTGATGTTAACTGGTGGCATGTTTGTAATGGATTAAAAAATTGTTGAAATATGTTTTTTGGTGGTATATTTTATTTATTCTATTTTAATTAGATTTTAGTAGGTAATTTGTATTGTCAACTCACGAGTTGATTGAATGATTTCTATATACAAATGTTTTACATTAGGCTTGGATATGAGTGGGTATTTTAATATCCAATATCACTCATTACATTTCGAATATCTCATAAATTGAATCGTTCAGTTCACATGGGTTCTACTCTATCCATAACATTTTTTGACAAGCACTCCATTGTTATATTTAATATTTTTTAAGTATCTAGCAGAAAAAAGAATGAATAAAATATACTACAAAAATACGTTTTTAACACTTTCTTAATTCACTACGATCGTCATTTAATATTCAATACCTAACCTAATAGCATCCAACTCCTGTCGCGGCTATGTGAGTGGTGCCTTAAAAAGGGTTCGTGGAGCGAGGCACATAAAGTGCGGTCAAGAATGACTAAGAATAAGAGTGATATGATTTATTTATTAAACGAATGAATCTGATAGATTATGATATATACCATTTGAGTTTTGAAAACTTTAGAATTGTTGGGTTGAAACATTGAGTCGGTGAATAAATTGTAAAAAGGACAAATTCAATTTTGGAATCGAGTGTCCAATGTTTTAGTTCAAGAACCAGGAACAGTCTTGGACTCTGTATGTTCTTGTTTCTCAGCTTAGTTCCTAATTAAAATTTTTAATTGGAATGAAACCTTCGATTTTGATGCGATTCCAATTTCAAAGGTTCAATTTTGATTAAAATGTTCACCCCTAATTTTATTTGTCGATAAATAACTCGGATTTACTTTTATAAAAGGAAAAAAAAATGGATTTACACGTATTTATAAGTGCAGCTTGGGCTTGCATCTAGTCCAGCCTTGTACTCTGTTCTTTTTTCCTTTTGGGGAAATTAGGCTCACTACCCTAAAAAAAAACAAATTAGATTAATACACTTAACATAAATTTAAACATCTCATCACCGTAATTTATACGTTCAAAAACACACCTCATTCAATTAGAAATAGCTATTATTCTTCCATTTAATTTATACGTTCAAAAACACACAACCGTGGTCGACCCGGATTCGTTCTTCTGTGTTGGCGGTGGAGGAGAAGAGGATAGAGATGAATTTCATCTCGGATCTGTTCGAGGCTTTCATCCCCAGTGATCAGATATCGGAATCTGATTCGATTCTTGCTGAAGATCCGAGTCCGGAATTTGGATTTGGCCCGGGTCTTGGGTTGGCTGAAGTCCCCTCCGTTGTTGGTCTTCGAGTGGTTGGCATCGAGTCGGAGTCTGATTCTGAGGAATTTGAGGTAGATTCTGGGTTAATTAACAATCATGATAATTATGATAATGTTGGATTTAATTATCATATTAATGATAGTGAAAGGGCTTTAAATGAAGAGTATGAATGGGATGAGGTAAATGAGAGAATCCAATTTGGTGGGAGGGAGAACTTGAATTCAGTGATTGATGGAATTGAAGAAATGAATTTGAATTCAACGATTGATCGAATTGAAGAAATTTCAGTT